TATTAAATCAAAGAATTATTTTTAATTTATTAAGTTAAAGCATTATTTTGAAGAATCCTTTGAGGTTTTATTTAAAACATATTATTGAACCTGCTTTGACTAATCTCTAATTTACTTTATGTGATATCTATTAGACTTGGTTAAAATTAACATTTCGTTGCATTTAATTTTTTTACTAAGATAGTTGAATTTATCGATTTAATTAAAAGAGGTAGAGACGATTCCTAGGAAGAAATCAAATCATAAAAATTTGTATTATTTATTTTAATGTTTGAATTTTCAGAATTAATAAATGTGCATGCTTATATATTATCTGGAGCAAGTATTTTTGAAAATTGAATAGGATAATCATAATTTTACATATTATTGAAAGATGTTAAATTTTAAATAATGATATCAGCATCATTTGCATTAAAAAAAATAGAATCTGTGTTTCCTAAAATATTTGTTAATAAAGCATTGTTTAAAGTGAAATTATAGAGTCTTCCTAACTGACCTTATGTTGCTTGATTCCTTTAAATTAAATATTTTTATTTAATTTTTTTTTAAATAATAAATTACTTAATTGAAACTACACTTGATGATGGATAAAGTGAGTAAATATCAGTAAAATTACATTTATTTATACTCAAGCTTATATAAGAATTCTAAGAATTTATGTATACAGCTCCTCCATCTAAGCTAGAGTAACCTTAAGAAAATGAAGTATTTAAGAATATATTATCCATTTAATTGCTTAGTGGTTCAAGGTAAACAAAAGAAGCAATACTAGCAGTTGATTAAGAGAATTTAGAATTATACAATTGAAATGTATTTGATTTTATTCTTAGACATCCTCCTTATTGTATGAATAATGCTCTGTTATCTTATAAATCATATGAAGAATTTGTAAATGAGCATCTATTTATATAAGTGTTGTTGCACTATATAAATGCAAAATTATAATGAGAATCTGACTTAGAATTGCTAAATTATGTGTCTTAAATAAGCATATCTCCTTGTGAATTAATTATCTAGATAGCTGTTGTTGACTAAGTTAAAGAATTGACAAAACCATTGAGAAGATTGTCATAAAAATTAGAATTTAATATTTAAATATTAGAGACTTAATCACAAGTAATGAACAATGGGTTGAATAAGAA